GGTCACTAGTGTAAACACGGATCCTCAATAAGGCCAGGCTATATTTTGGACATTTGAGCCTCACGAGTTTGGGTCGTATAAATTAAATGCCAAGCTGCTTTCTCTACACCAACGACCTAGCGCTCACTCTCATAACTGCTATAGAGAAGTTTTCCATCAGCTACACGCATTCGCTGCTCTCACGCATATTCCTTATATGGAGTTTTTCACGGGCTAAGCTACTCACTGAAGCAATGGAACCAAGCCGCCATCTATCAGCCTTGTCACAGAAAAGCTATAAACAACCATAGAACTTTCCTGATAATTGTCAGATAATCCGTGGCCGCCAAATGAACCACGGCCAGCTGGAAAATAATTTTATGTTTTTATAATGAAGTAGGATTCACAAACGCGCGCAGCTCATCATAAAATGATTTTCGGGAAATTTATATATACTAATATTTTCTAAAGTATTCCCCACACTTCTACACGTTTTTCCACTTCCATTCAGGGAATGTTTTTGTAGAATATTTTTATTCAGGCAGTATTAATATCTTCATCTTCTACACTAAAAATGCTTGAACTGAAACAGTGCCCCACAATCCTGCCATACGAGTTTTCATTGAATTGAAAGTTTTACTACTCGTCCATTTTTCTTATTGAAATTTGCATTATTGCCGGCTACATTACAACGTAGCGAGAGATTTTCTCACGTAGATTTCGAGAAGAACTGATCATTCTGCACATGGAAAGAAAAAATACTTGTATTTACACCACTTCCTCGGAAATAGCTTGCCCACTCAATAAGAGTCTCAAAGGAATTATAATTTGAAGAACGATGAGAAAGCTGAAAGACTTGGCGCTTCGTCTGCAATGATGACTTTGCATTTTACTTAACATGCCTTGAGGAATCAACTCGCTTTCCCGAGAAATTGTGTGACCAGTATTTCAAGAAATATGAATTAGCTGAGCACTCCTTCATTCGTTTCAATGTGTGACGCTGCATTTTAATCGCATCCTATCTTTAACATTACGACAATCGAAGAACTTCCGTTCATGGACGAGCAAACATTCTTTCATAACTTTTTATCGCTAAAATAACAGCAATGCTGCTCAGCAAAAATTCTGAGCTACTTGGTTCAAAGAAAATAATCACCCTCTGCGCATGTGGAATCACAGTTTCACTTTCAGCCCACAAAAAGGGTTTTATCTGGTAACGGAAGTATCATCTTGCACGCTTCTCATATCCCCCGTGGATTCTCTAAGCTGAAAAACACGACTCCACGAAATGACTGGAGCATTTGGAATATTTTGCTCGATGATAATCGTCATTTGTTTCACTTCAACGCACACTTTCCCTGACCTCCGTCTTGGAATATCTAGAGTGTATTTATTGAGTTGCTGATCATTCTAGCATGAGAAACGAAGTTTTTATCTAAACACTCGCATACTGTGGGGCGGTGGCCATCTAATATCTACGTAGCTCCCGCCTCGTGACTTTCACCGCACTTTTCACGAGCTGGCATGCGCCTGACAACGAATGTGCAGGCTGAATGTTCTTATGTTATGCACATCGTAATCTGACATGATCGCACGCAGCGCAGTGTGCGATTCAGTTCGCAACCGTTATTTTCCAGCCATTCTGACATTTGTTCTCTGCAGACACGCTTTCTCAGTGATTCCTTGTTTCCAAGTGAGACGGATGGAACGCCCTCTCGGGCAGTATGAATTACTTTATTGCGTTCTACATATCAATCTTCATTTACTGTGTGCTCATCCCTCCATTTTATTTGCTGTTCCTAAGAAATAAAAGGGTTCTAAATGCTTTTTGTAAAGCATTTACAATTCTATACATTGCTTATATTTCACTTGGGACCAAAGTCATGTTAAATCTTCTCTATGATCGGTGCAGCGCAATTCGTTAATGGTTACGGGATTGTTGAACTAAATTGCAATTGCATTTAATTCAATTTAAACTTTTCCATATGTGCCGTCTATTTTTCCTCATATCGGTACCTTTCAGCGTACACCACACAATCAAAGTAAGCTTCGATTTTTTCATCCTTACCTTTTGATGCACTTCCGTTGTTGCATTAATTTGCGTGTTGTGACAAGGAGACTTGAATTATTACAATACAATTACCTCATCCTCTTTTAACAAGAAGCACCATCGCTTGGTTGTCATCCGCTTTCTTTGGGTGTTTCCTGTTCGTATTTCCGTCTTTATTTGACGCTTGATTTTCTAACTCGTAAGTGACAAACTGAATGTCTTCTTGCGGGAGCTTCAGCATTCAATTTTGGCTTGATTATTTACTGACGTCCCTGTGTAATCAGTGATTACTGATTTAATTTCTTGGCATTTTCTCTGACATTTTGAATTTCGTTCACATTAAATCAGACCAGAAAACTAAAGTCTAAGATCATCAGCCTTCGCATTTCTTTTCATTTGTACTAATGGGACAATGGGAAATTGACTTTTAGATCTATGGAACACCATAGATTTGAAATTTGAGTTTTCTTGCATATTTTTCCATAAAAAGCCGTCGGTTAACGGTGGGTAGACTGATTATTTTGTCATAGAGTCGCCGTGATGCATCAGAACATGAACAATATTTCGGTCAACTATTAATTTCAAACGAAATTCGTGGCTCTAAATCATCAAAATAATCATTGTTGCACTAACTCTTGTTCTCCTTAATATTTTTCGTTTGAGCGGTGTGTTTTGTGAGCGTCTTCAATGGCCATTAATAGCATTTTGTCGACCAGGTCCATCGCTGGAAGCTAGTGTCGACGCAACATACGTCGTACTGAATTTATCCGCGTCACATTTTCTTTCCAGCCAACACCGTTATTACAGCGGCGTCAGTAGGGCACGTCTGTTGGTGCCATTGCGCAGATGTGCGGTCATCTTGCAAGACTTAGATACGCTGGTATTATTTTATATATGCTATTTATATTTTTATAGATATTAAGTGACAGTAGGACTTAGTTCTAAATTGTAGTGTTCGTAAAGCTACCTCATCACGACTGCAAAATTGCTTGCTCCGTCGGATTTGTCAATTGCCATTCCCGCCATGAACTCATTGCACGATAACATTGAATTGTTATGCATCACGTACGCATTTCAGTATCCTTACTTCCGTAAATATATCTTTTCTCGCAATTCCTTGAAAATTTGTGAATTATTTGAAATTTGATTGAATGCTAGTGCCGAGGCTTTCGAAAGACTGCATGGCGCCATTGGTTGTGGACAGATACTAGAGCAGGGGTCTCCAAACTACGGCCCGCGGGCCGGATCCGGCCCTCGGCTAGGTTCCATCCGGCCCGCCGAGGATATCTCGTATTTCAACATAATGTGTCCAAAAATCGAGCGTGGCGTTTATTTCTGGTTAAGCATGAACTAAAAAACAGTAAAAATGCGTGACTGGTGTCTCTAAAATTTGATAAATATTTACAAATGTTACCATGAACCACCCAAGACCCTTTGATTGAGGAGAACATTATCGTCCTGGTCTGCTTGCCAGTGTGAACCCAAGTTTGGAAGTGTTTCAGGTGATAATGTCGGGACCAGGAAAGAAGAGAAATGTGGACACTGAATGCCGTGAATCAAGGAAAAGAAGAGTGCATACTACTTTTTTATCGATTCTGATACGTTGACAACATAGCATTATGGTTAATATGCAACGATAGTATTGCAGAGCTGAAAGAGTGTAACACTCGGAGACATTATGACTCAATCAAATCAAACTCAATCAAATTATGAAACTCAATCTTCATTCGCAAGAAGACTTGCAGAAAGCATTATTTGCAATCTGAAATAGCAATTCCAAGAACGTCACGCATCTGCAGCAATTAAAAATTTTCCAAAATGCATTTGATTGTTCCATTGAAGATTTGCCATCTGAACTTCAATGGGAAGTAATTGATCTGCAAGCTAATGACGCGTAGAAGGACAGATTCATAGAAGGTAAACTGATCGACCTTTACGAGTGTCCGCCAAGCGATGAAAATGTTCATCTACAAGCCTTTGCTAATATGAAGTATGTCAAGTCTAGCTACAGGGCAGCCTTATCCGACGAACATTTACAATCAATTTTGATGATAGGATCGGTAATTTTGATCCTGAACTCAATGGGATTTTGTATGAAAAGAAACAATGCCTCGCATTAATGCTGTTTCACGTTGAATATTTTTTTAAGATTACACTCTAATAATTATAGCCATAATTATTATGTCCCCTCTGTATTTAGGAACCGTGCTTTTCACGCCAATTAATGATAAGGATTTAAGATTATGCGAAGAATAAGCGATGAAAAATAGTGTACTGTTGTTCTGTAAGACGAAGTGCTGAATAAAATAGTCATTCGTGCGCAAATTTTGACTATCGCATTTTATTCGTAATTTGTGCTGCCCTCCTCTCCGCCCACGAACATCTTCGGCCCGCGAAAGTTTCAGTAAGCTTGATCTTGGCCCTTGGTAAAAAAAGTTTGGAGACCCCTGTACTAGAGTATAGATAAAGATGCACGGTAAACGCGAACGATGAACCTGTGTTACTTCAGCGGTCATGCACACTTCCATATTTCACTGTAAAAGAATGTTTGCCTGAAATTTATCTTATCTCTTTTCATGTAGAGTATTGACTTCATTTAATGAATAAAACCCCTCGTTTCGTTTACTTCCATTTACTTAGAAATGCCGTCGATCGGAGCTTGTTTATTGATTTTTAACTCAGTTTTGCCTGGAATGCTTGACTGGAAGTTATATGACTTTCTAAGTTGACTTAATAACTTATTCCTTTCAACGAAATATCGAATAGTTGGAGATAAGGGTTACGTTCATTTGAAATGCTCTTTTTGTGTATTTATGCGTTTTTGTCAGTACTAAAATATTTTAATAGTACTAATTCATCCATAAACTATATTATCAAATCTGATTCTAATTTTGCAATGTCTCGTAATTTCAATTTTGTTTTGTGTGTCGTTTATTACTACATATTAATGACTCTGTATTTTTTCTTCCAGATTGCACAATGAGACTAAAGTTGGCGCTCATCGCATTGTTCGTGGCTGCTGTATCGGTGAGTATACAGAAAAAAAGCATACACTACTAGCATTAGGCATATAGTGATATCTGTATTAATTTTTATTCTGTCGCTAATGTCTCCCATTAACATTAATCCCTCAATGCCGCGAGTGATTTCCCACAATGCCGACGATGATAGATTAATTCCACAAGGCCGACGATGCCAGCTTACCTGATTGACCATGCTGAGTTAATATCATATCATTGAGCTGGACTCGGTTGGTATTATGTTAACAAGGCTCGTAATCAACGGGCTTCTTGTTGTACTCAAGGCAATGGGCTGCTTTAGCTCCTACACATGGTTGTTGAATAATCAATCCATTTCTGATAATTGAAAGTTCGATTTTTATTAGTCTGAGACAATTAATTTGAAAGAATTCAGGTTCAAGTGACGAAAGTGCCTTAATAATGTACATTCGTTACAAAGTATTATAATTTTCTCTTAATCTTGTCAATATTATTATTTTACGCGTATAATTTACAGAAAATCGAGGGTTTTGTCGTCCAGCGTTATTTAGAATGACCATATCCTTGTACAAATATTGTAACTGACTGGCTTTAAACTGAAATTCACACACCACGCTATATAAATTATCTCAGTAATAGTATGTATCATGCACCTTACCTTTTCGTTTTCATTATCCGAAAGCTAAAACAAAATTCTCCGCCTCTTTTATCACTTCTTAAACACGCTAAATCGTTTTTTCAAACTCCCATCCAGACCCCATTCGTAAAAAATTTGTTGAAAATATTTCATGAACTAATTTTGTCGTAACATGTCATATGTGATATTCATGGAACACATTATGTAAGCTCTCTCTCTTATGCCATCCCGGTGAATCAACTTGAAACTCAAAGTTGTTGGTAAATTTAACATACCGTACCTAAAATAACTGGAACCCAATTTATTCAACTAAAGCACATTATATCTTCAGCGTTTATTTTTCAACGCCGACTAGCAACGCTACCGTACCCACTGTTATGCTCGACGAATTTCAAATTAAACATTCGTCTCACCATTGCCATTTGGCAACTCCAGGATTGTTTCTTTGCTGGCCGGCTGTCGGACTTGTGTTTCTTTTCGGCTTGCAGGATTAACCTAATTATTTGAGGTTCTCATTTTCATGACCAACGAGGATATATTTATGACTAGAAATCTGCACAAATATTAAGCAACACAATCAAGTAAATATGAAATGAAGCAATAACGTTGAATAAAAAAAATAAGAAGATGGAATTAATTGTTAGAATAACGATAGAGAATCGAGCTAGAATAGCCCTTCTACTTAATGGCTCGCATCTTAATAGATTTACATATGGCATAGGTCGTAAGTGGACCAGTGCACATTTGTTGGACACGTATCTTAGGCATTGCAGTTAAAATTCTCCTCACTATTGCCTCAAACTGCAGTATTCCCTTGCAAGAAGCTGATGCTAGAAGAGCAAGTCACGCTGGCTGTCGCACGCGGGAGCGGCATCTGCCGTGGCCAATATCGCCGCCATGTCGCATATGGCGCGTGTACAGTTAGCGCGCGCTCACCACAGTTACCCTGTAGCTTCAAAATTATGTTAATAATTCAACCTTGCTTGCAACATCGCTTGCTGTACACGCTGAATTTTTTGGCATTAAAGAAGTAGTTCAACATAATAACAATCTTAATTTTAAAGTTGTCATATTCATTAAATCTTTCTGTTGCTAACACGGTGTCGATGAGATTCGAAATTTGAGATTTTGTAAGGCTCGGTTTGGCATAATTATTATTTTCTTTCTTGATAGCGATGCCTCTCTTCTATTTCGACTCGCTTGTATGTCTCCCTTGGTTTAAAGTCTACTTATATTTTCGTTAAAGTGGAAGAATATTCTGTAATAGAGATAGATAAATAATTGAAATATTTTTCGTGTTCAAAAGCTCTTTTGCAAAATTTAAAAGTTTTCCCCATTATAAAAAATTTTTAAAGTTCTTATTATTCTTTACCATGGTTTTTCGGGCTTTAAATTAATCTATAAATCAAAACAATCAAACTTAATGGATCATTTACTTTACTGTCCAAAAATTAAATTTTTGGCTCGCTTTTAGTTCATGAAAAAGTCTCAGTGTTACTGTAGCTATCTGCCATTCCATGGTGGTGATTTTTGTCTAGCAACTTAGCAACTATAGTTGCTGAATGTAATTTCCACTGCACGCTTCAATTTTTGTTCTCAGTTGTAATGACGCACGTTTTTGTCTCCTAATGAATCCTAAGTCGTGTAGGAAATGAATGCATAATGTTTCGGACGCGGCGGGAGTCGTCAGCTGACACAATATAGGACGTCGTTAGGATCTATTTCTATGTTAGCTGACCTATTTTATTCTACACTTACTGATTTCTGTATCAATAATCTTGCGGTCACCATTAGTTCATCCGCTATCATCAATTAGTTCGAAAATACATTATCCGAATTTCATTTTGTATTGATATTTCTGATTACGTTTGGAAAAGATCATGGAACAATAATCTGGGGGAATATTTTAAAACTTCGTCCTAGGAAAGAAATGACATTCAACAATTATATTTCTATTCAATTTGTGCAGAGCTCAGCGATATTGACGTGATAAAGCATCGATTTAATTCATTCTGTTGAATATCATAGAAGATAAAAAAAAATAATTTAAATGCGTGGCAACCGAATTCCCGCAAAAGGAACGCAAGAGACTTTCTTTATTTCAAGGTTTGAATTTATAAATAAACTAATACAACTTGGTGGTCAAAACTTCATACAACAGTATTACCCTACATAAGTAACTCCTCTTCCTAATTCCCAACTAAGATTCTGAATATCATTAGTTGGTCTGCAACATGTTGACATTCGCGCGACTGTCCGTTGGTGTTCACCGTTGCACCAATGATCCATTTCTACCGGAGTGACTGCTCGAGCAAACTCTTCGGTAACGGCCTTAACGGGTCCCTCTTCATTATGCGCCATCTTGCAAATTTAACGAAGATGAAGATTTTAGACAAGATATTAGCTGTTGCTCATATTCAGCACCATGTTTCTCACCAAATCTCTGCCTCAAACAATAGCACTTGAAGATTTTGATGCATTCTAATCCAAATTACACTGCTGCAAGGCAATGCATTGAAACGCGATTGCTTGCTTTGTATCTTTGATTGTAATTTGTGTCAATTATCCGATTAATGCGCTCCGTTTTTCAATACCTAAGGGTTGATAATGTAGTAGTTTATACATTTGCTACATCATAATGGAGGAAATGTGACTTATTGTCTTGAAAATATCATCTGTCCATCTGAGTGGCAGACATCGTAGCCATTATACGGTGCTCTAACATTGGAATAATGAATGCATTAATTGCCTTAATTTTCCCCTGATTTTTTTTATTGAATCGCCATGTATTTTCAAGAATTAGCCGTTCATTACTCGTAATATATTGAGTTTCCAGACAATGATTAATTGTACAGAGGAGCTATTAAACCGCGGACGTTCGTTATACGATTTGTATCGGGCGGGATATTAACAAAATTTTAAGGGGAAACGCTCAGAAGTCAAGGGTAAAATTTGTAATTTTTAAGGACACGAGAACCAGAAATAAGAACTTGCGGCTAAGAAATTGTAATCCAGTAGGTGAAAATTCTACATGCATCCTTTTTTTCCGCATGTAAATGCAATCTTGAAGCAAGGCTCATCGATTCAGAATTACCGGCTCACCTCCAGTCTAGTAGTGCATTGAATAAGAAAAGTGATATCGTGATATTTTATCCCATCAAAATATAGCATAATCTCTCGGAACTTGCGAAGCCATCAGCAATATTCGTCGTAGTATGGCCGTAACTGTGCCAGAGTGATATCACTATTCCTGAAGGCTTCGTACAAGTATCTCTTTTTAGGTTGCGCTTGTCGGTAATTAAGACGAGATGTTTCTATCGTAAGTGGAGCATCTTGTGATCGCTCGATCAAGTCGCGCCAAACAATCCACTGATCGTAGGAGCAACCAAGCGAACAAAGTTCTGAAAAATCTCCCGCAGTGCACAGCTTTCGCAGAACAGAGTTTTATGCTCGATGGGACTGGGATTTTTCTTGCATTCGTATCGACTGTAACCTGGTTCTTTTATGTGGATGGATAGAAATAAGGAATATTTTTTATAGACTCCAGACTGATGATGTGCTGAACGCCAGGTGAGCGTCGGTGGCGTTTATTCTCTTCCTCCTTTCACTGACAACAGCGCGCCGCCCGACCGTGACTTGTACGTCACCCGTGCACACATCTTCTGGGCTTGCCTAATGATTTTATAAGTTTAATATCTCTTCAAGTCAATTTGTGCATGTAACAGATTAAACTTTCTTTTGCTGCCAGTACACCAGTCGGCAAATGCTGTATTTAGTTTTGGTCATTTATTCAAAATTCAAAATATTTTGGTAAATGTATAATGAATTTTGCCTGCGTAATATTACCATGAGCCGTATCTGCTTTGTGGAAATAGTATGGAATTATTAATTAAAAACGCCCGAGTTTTTGACTTCTTAATAATAATCTATCAATTGAAATATCGCGGCTATCAGTTCATCGAAGTTACTTAATGGATGAAACTAATTTATAGTTTTTGAAAGCTATATTAATAATTCCGAAAAGCAAAGGGCAAAATGGGGTTTCTAATTAATTTTTAGTTTAATAGTTACGCTATTATTATCTATAGTCAGATGACATTAAAATCAAGCCTTATGTTTAAAATCATTGGAATTAAAGTTAAATTATGTAGAACATATTTCAAGTGACTAGATTCTCTAACCGGTTAATCTAAAAGTATAGTGACCTTATTAGCAATCAAATTTCATTTAAAGGATTGAATGCCAACCGTTAAGGGTTTGTTTCGAGTGATAACACTTAATTATAGTGGAGTCTTTGTACAGCGCGGCAAAGCCTTTGAGTTCTTATTAGTTCACGTGTCATTACAGGTATGGAGAATGACGAGAAATTTACGCTTACCATTTCGATTTTCAAACTTGTTGAGTAAACTTGGTATCAAGTGTATAGTAATTAGGAACACTTTTCTATCCGCGCCTAGAATCCGGGAAACGTCTCCAAGTCTACAGTGAGACGTCTCCAGTCCGATAGGAGACGTACAATTAATTTAAAGAATTTCTCCCGACACTCTCTCCAGCTGAGCCACTAGGGGATATGTGGGTCAGCGTTATTAGAATGACAAGTGTTCGTCTTGTAATGGTCTTAACTACTAAACACTCCTGGGACAAACTACGCACGCATTGCTCCTATATACACGAACACACGCTGTGCCTGGGTGCTTGGAACGTCTTTCGTTGCGAACGGTCGTGCGTTTATGCTTGTAAAGCCGTTACGAACGGTCGTACGTGCATTTTTATTATATTCTCTACGATAAGCTTGATTTTAAGACCAATGACATTCTGTAAGAACTTGTATTATAATAAATAATGAACCGGAGCCTCAGAATGAAATAGAAGGATGCACTCGTGACGCCCAAAACAAACGTACGATTTATAGTCACGATTACTGGCATCGACATTTTTAGCTGTTTTCTACGCTGTATACTCGCTTCAGTAAAAAAACACCGATTTCTTTTGAATCTTTCAAATAAGAATTTTATTTGTGCTTTCAGTATTGTGCCAGTTTTTCACCGATATCACCTTATCAAAGTTGAAGCTCTAAAGAAAATTTAAGTAATTTGAGAAACTCTTGAAATTCCATTCAAACATGATTTTCATTGTCTTTTTTGCAGTGAATTGGTGATTAGAAGGATATAGGGAGCCGTGCGTAATTTAGTATTTTTATGTCGAGCCCATTGAGTTCAAATCGCCCAATTTTATTGTTAGTGTAAGCATAAGTTATAGAAGTTAGTTGTTGGTATAAGTAGCAACTTTCTCTCTCTCTCTCTCTCTTTATAAACCTTGTGTATATTTTTACCAATATTTGGGGTGGAGAAGTTATATACTGAAATATATTGGACAGGGGCTTAAAATATGTTCCAATTTTCCGTCAATACTTCGCAAATTTTTCAGGTGTGGAAACTCAAGCTAGCTTCCTAGTGTAGTAGTGAATAGTTTCCCTGCAATAAATAGTTAAATATTTTGAATTTCAACACTTGGTCTGTTAATTTCTGAGGAACTAAAATTTGATGATTCGTTTTTGATTACAATCTAGATTCTTTTTCCCCTAATCGTAATGAACAAAATCATAGAAGCTGCTGACAATTTAAGTATAAAAATAAAGTTTATGATATCAAGTTATCAAGTTCATAATATAAAATCATTCTCAGTATTAAGTTTCCATTTGCGGATTAACACATGATGATCATTTATTCTAGTTAGCACACGCGGGAAGAGAGCAATTGCGACGGCTTTCATGGCCATCGAAACTCAAGAGAAAAACAGCCAGGAGCGCTGCTCTCGAACTGAACAACGCGGAGCACTTAAGAAATCTTTCCAAGACTCGTTCTTTCCCAAGAGGATTCTTTCACTTACTTTCTTCTTAGCCAAAGGCAATTGATTACTCTTGAGAGCAGCGTAGCCATAACTACTTTTTTCTTTGCTTTGTGGGAAAGTTATTCACAAAGGAAAACATCTGAACCGCGACGCAGACTTTCTGAAATCATGTTTATCGAAGGAACTGAATATTTGCGTTGCATTTGGGTTTCACCAACATCCTTCACTTTTAAAGCAACAGTTGAGTTTTCATTTAAGGTAATAAGTTAGTTTTTATCGCAATTGCCGTTTGTGATTTTAATTTTTGAAAACCAGAAAAGTTTGAATGACGACTGTCAGCAGTGATGCATGGTGTAACCCGTAACATTTTTCAAAAACCAGTCTCAGTAAATCCGAAATTCTTTATCTTTTGCTGCTACCTATTGCGTAATGCTACTAACACAGCAATCAAAACTGGCCCTTTGCATTGGTATGACGTTCGATATTCAACTAAAAACTTGAGTTCATCAGCTGGTAAAATTCTTTAGAACTGATTAATTGGCTTATTTGTATAATAACTATGAAATTCGTCACTTACAATTTCATTTAGAGCTCGGCAGTTTCTACTTTAATACGATGGAACACGAGGAGCTTTGTTCTATAAGACGCTTGTTCATAGCGCGTCGACTCTCGCCCAGCCCATCGAGTTTCATCCCCGACAAAGACAATGAGAGAAAACACTGCGAATTGCAGTCTATATTCTAAGTCTCGTGATGGAGGCTTATCACAACATCGATGCAAGTGGTGCAGCTCGTCTGAATGTGACGTCTGGCTTTCTCTTGCACTCTCATTAAATAAGAGCCTTAATATCCTTTTAGTTTCTCTTGGCAGTTTTTTTCGGTTTACTGCATATTCGTATGGATTTGATTCATGTGCCCTTTTCACATTTCAAAATAATATTTTCACATTTCAAAAATAATCTAATAATATAATCGAATAATCTACTATAATATCGATCATAATCGTCTTTTTTAATAAGGAATTAGTTTTCTTATATCAAATTAGGCTGAAGTAAGTCATTTACGTGACAATATATAAGTAGTATTCACCACTGTGGTTTAGTTTTGAACGCAGCAGACAGTTGTCAGTGTACTCTCTTTCACATAGAGGAATATTTGTTTACATACAGGTATATTCTGACAAGTACGTTACTTGAAGCCCATTAGGATGGAATTAGCTCTGAAACCTTAAAATAAAAACCAATGCCTTGAAGGCGATTTTTATTTCTCTGTTGCTTCACCAATTTTAACAGATATCGCTCGCACATTCCCATTAGTACATACTCGTACGTCTCTTCAACTCCTTAAACCCATTTTCTTTTGGTTCTCAGGCTCAGCAGTTCGAGGAAGACAACCATGCCGTGGACAGCGCTTCCCTGCCTGCGGAACACAGGAGCGGTGCGGATTTTGGACCAAACTTGATATCTGCCGCGTCAGATAACTGGCCTTTGGCACAGCCTGACATGCCAAGCATAACTAATCTGCAGGTGAACAGATTCTTTTATCATGCTACTAAATATCGTTTGATTCCGTTTTGGATGAACTCAACTTAATTTTTTATTGATGAATATTTTTACTTTTAATGTATGACAGGTAAATGAGAACCCAATCGTTTTTGTGCTGGCTTTAAGTCACGAACACAGAATTAGTAACTTAATTGAGTGATTTTTAACGTCGTTTTAATAATATGTTAATGACTTAAAATAAAAATTTTTATATGTGCTTTTGTGAAATATCCTATCTGGGAACATGATCAATTTCGGCCGAGATAATGCAACTCGAACTATCAACTGACATTGAAATTATTTGCAGGTGCAATGCGACAAGACCTACATGAGAGTCTCAGTCGAGTTCGATCGTCCCTTCCACGGCATGATCTTCAGTAAAGGATACTTCAGGTGAGGCTGCGATGGCGCATTCGGCTTTGAGAGACACCCATCGACGTAACCTCCTTCCTAGTCTTATTTGCTAAACTAATATGGGACGTTTAAACTTTTCTCACCTACCGCTGCCCTGTTTTAAATAGCCACAAATTTCTTGAAACGGACGAGATGGTCATCCAATAACCAAAATGTTTGTGCAGCGAGCTGGCACACGAAGTAATTAAATTGTTCGATTCTAATTTTTCGTCTTCCGTGGCCACCGTGTCACCGCGCGTAAACTAACGTTGACTTCATTACCCGCTGCAGTGACGCGAGCTGCGTACACCTGCGCCCAGGCTCGGGCACGCTGCACGCGCAGTTCGACATCTACCTGAACAGCTGCGGCATGAGCAGCTCATCCAGCGACGGCAACTACGGCCAGCCCACGCCCTCTGGTACCTTCATAGAGAACACCGTCATCATCCAGTACGATCCGCTCGTCCAGGAGGTGAGACTCTGAACAACCCGACACTTTCCAGTGTTTTTGTGTGACAACGAGGCTTGCCGGCCTCATAGAATTTTTTGTATATTAAGTGTTTTATAAAAACATTAACCTATTTTTCATTACATCTTTTGACTTATTGATGAAACTTTTACTCTTTCATTCGTATCGTCTTCTCATCAGAAGTAAATATTTTCAGTGTTTATTCATTAATGGCACAAGCCAAAAAAAATCAATTATATGATATCATATCATGACCTAGAAGTCTTAGAAGGACCAATGACAACAAGTTCATAGGAAACGGTCATTGTCTCGTATGGTGAAGATGGTAGTCATAGCCACTCCACCATGATGACACGGAAAAAGTTAAAATTAGTGCAATCCTCATTTCCAGGTTTGGGATGCTGCCCGCAAGCTGAGATGTACCTGGTACGACTATTACGAAAAATCCGTCACATTCAGGCCATTCCAGGTTAGTAACAGATGCTCTCTCAACCTACACTAGGGATCCGGACATCATTCGAGCGATAAACTTTTGTAGTTTATGTTGACAACACCGTTGAGACAAACATAACTTTGTTTAAATTGGGTATAAATCGCTTAATCCAGAAGTAAAGTGTATTTGTTTAATGTAAGAAATGTTTACTAATTACTAATAATTTTGAAAATAAATCAATAGTGCTTATTGTTAACTAACTTGCAGGTTGACATGCTGAATGCTGTGACCGCCAACTTCCTTGGAGATAACCTGCAATGCTGGATGCAGATCCAGGTCGGCAAAGGCCCTTGGGCGTCAGAAGTTTCAGGTATCGTCAAGATCGGTCAGACCATGACCATGGTGCTCGCTATCAAGGACGATGAGAACAAGTTCGACATGATGGTCCGCAACTGCGTGGCGCACGACGGAAAACGTGCACCAATCCAACTCGTTGATGATCTCGGCTGTGTAACAAGACCTAAAATTATGGGAAGGTTCCAAAAGATAAAGGACTTTGGCTCGTCTGCCTCCGTAGTGTCGTACGCATATTTCCAGGCCTTCAAGTTCCCAGACTCGATGAATGTTCACTTCCAGTGCGTGATCCAAGTGTGTCGTTACAAGTGTCCTGAGCCGCAGTGTGGTGGAGGTATCGCCGGACCAGGATACGCAGCCCCTGGCATCGGTGGTCCTGGATTCGCAGGAGCTGGTGTTGGAGGACACGGATTTTCATCAGGTGGTGGAGGGTTCGGAGGACACTTTGGTGGCGACTCTGGTTTTGGAGACTACGCTTCTGGTTCTGAACATCAGTCTGCAGCTTTGCCTGATCCTAGGACTCCAGGCAGCAAAGCACTTGACCTGCATAAGCCAGAACCTAACAGAGGACCCGCTGCCGACGAAACACCGCGCCCTGTACTTGTCAACACTGAACTCAAACCTGACCCCAAGGCCATTCCTCAGCCGAGCAGAGCGTATCCTGGCGTTAACAGGCAAGGACTTGACAGTTCCTTTGCTGGACGACCTAGATCTGTTAACTTCAACGACGATGAGAATGTCGTAACCGAAGCTGTAGTTGATGATTCTGGAAACGTCAGACACCGAAGATCAGCCGTTGTAAGGATCTACAAGCGAGCCGCTCAGGAGATGACTGACGTGAGCACGGAACGCGTCATCCAAGTTGTTGCACCAGGCGACGTCGCCTTCAACTTGAATTCTGCCAACGAAACTGTAGTGGTCTCCGAGCTACACGCCGACCCCTCCAACATCTGTATGTCGACAGCAGGCTTCGCTGCTGGTCTGATCATGTTGCTGCTCGTGCTCACGGTCGCGTGCTTAGTAGCTTGTTTCTTGTATACTAGGGTCCGTGCGTTCAACTATAAGAACTCGGCAGCCGCACCAGCTTTTATGCCTGGTTTCGAATCTCCCGAATATGTAAAAAGTTCTGCAGCTAAATGAGTACGTAAGCGTTTGATGTATCTTTAAGTTTAATTTCAATTCACAGAAAATTATTCTTGAGAATGGGAATAAAGCCGTCCACTGCCTCGCGCAATGAATTGTAATGATTTTACACTATGTATTCAAATAGTGAATCGGAAATAGAGCCCATGTAGTAGAGTGCAAATTGATCCGAAGATAAGTATTCCCAAACCGAATTAGTGTAATAGCTACGAGAGTTGTATTTTGACGTTTGAGATGAATATGCATCTATTTTTGGACCAGTAATAAAGAAGCATTATTTCCGTCGTTTATAAGTTTGCGAACGTGAGTCGTCATTGTCGTTAAGCTTCCCTCAACTCAGGAGCTGAGAAACAGCTCCCAGAGGCCCTATGAGCGCCTTCAAATGCAGCTAAACCAAATCAACTATTACAAGCGTCTTTGCTTTTTTATGTCACGTTGAGGAACAAATATTGAGCTCAGTTAAAGTTAAATATGTTTCTATACCACAGGTATGACCCTAGAGCCGCAGAAGGCTAAACTAAAGCGAAACTAACTTTTCCTTTTCATTAACTCATCTCACTAACCTGAATATAGGCATTGCAAATCATCCTCATGTCATCCTCTAATATCTTGCTTCTCTCTAATAAACGTTGTATTCTATTTATTGCTTAGGTTTAAGTCATTGATGAGGGCCCGTTCTCTACGAATAACCTTGTTGCCGCTGTTATCGTAATGTTAAAGCCCTTTTCTATTAGCAGTTCTAAGATATAATGTGACTACCATATCTGTTGCACGACTGTTGCATTTTTATTCGAGGCCAATCTTAGTAAAAAGTTATATTTTTAACCGTGGCGAACCTGTCTCCATGGCAATGAAAACTTTCCCCAACTGAAACGTGAAGGTATAGTTGATGCGACACATGCGTCAGCTCGTTGCTTTTGGATTTTCTAAATTTTGTTAAAGTACCAAACTTCATCTTATGACAACTTTATATGAAATTTAGTCGATCGAATTCTCTTAATTGAGATTAGCATAGAATTATTATGAAAGTCTCTTCTCACTTACAAGAAATTTCTGTCCTATTTACGCAAGATTTTCCAGATGTCATTCATAAGTAAGCCGACACTGACCACACCCAGCTGGCGTTGATGAAAGGCGAAAACTCTCTGGTTAACGTGTAAATAAGAGATCAGATATCGTTCAGTCCAGAGGTATTTATTTGTAAATCTATTGAAATGAATGAATTACAAAATCATTTTTTTGGGCTCGTATCCTTGACCTCCCACACCTAAGACATGCTGAAGAGATAATAACTTCTGCTATGTAGAAAAAACTTATTTCACCGGCTGAATTCCAAGACGATTGTTAACAAGCTAAGAAAATAATTTATCGGTCAACAAGCTGAGAGAAACAGGAACGTCAAATTTTGGAAAATCTAATGGAATATTTGTAACTAATTTTTCAATTATTTACAAAATGTACAAGGCGCTTTGAATCTTTTTAGCTCTCAGACGGGGGAGTTGATGAGGCTGTTTCGGCATGAGACATCTCTGAATATCTCTGCAGTGCGCCTGCAAGCTCCGTCTGTGGAGGGAATCATAGTTAATAGAATAAATCATTCTGCACAATCCGGGATAAACACACTCCTTCAATGACTTGAGAAACGATGTATGTAATTAATGTTTAGGCAAATGCAGAATATTTTAATGTAAAACATTTGCCGAGTTAAGTGAAAGTACGAACAAGAAATTAATATACTCCAACTAAAATCAACACGACCTCATGAATACTTCAATGACAACTGAATTATTGCGTGCGTAAGTTTGAGACATGATCAAGACAACCGTGTTGTCCGTTTACAACTAAAAAAAAGAAACGTTCTAGGCTAAAGTATATAAATTGAACAAGTTAAACTGCACAAGAGAACCCAATACAATAACCGGAAGCTCAGTCTGCCGACAGACGGAAACGGCATTTAAAAACGTACAAATGCATCGATTAAATTGACAGTATTAAATCATACTCAGAGGAATCAAAGTGTTTCGCACGTGCAACATGATATGTTGCATATACGCAAATGCAAGTGCAAATGATACAGAATATACAGAGTTTTGCAAAAACCTGCTTTTTTAGCTACCAATAACATGAAATTGACAATTTACAGAGAAATAACCTTTGGTTATATATTTCCTATTCCTCAAGTCATCCAAGCAGGATTTGAGACATAAATGATCACTTTAATTTAGGCCCAATCTGTTGAATTAGCTGATTGTTATGGCAATCAGCTGCAAAGATTGTCTGTAAATCAAGTGAGCGCTGTACCTGCTGGGCGTTGAGCTGACGGGTCAGAGTCTGCTGCTGAGAAGTCAGGGTCTGAAGCAGGGTTGCATGCATAAGCGGCAGGGACGGGAGCTCGGCGGCTCGTTTCAGGTCTGCCACAGAGAGGATCCGATCCTCTACCACCACTCCCAGTATCGTTAAAAAGGGCAGTTGGCGCTCCAGCTTCAACAACTGCCCAGTAGAAGGTAAATTTAGAATAATGGCACCGAAATGACGCTTAGATTACAGATACTTGGATGCAGCCTTTGCTCAACTGTCAACAACGCCTTAGATTCTTGGATTGATGAATTTTAGAATTAATTATTGATATGCATTATCACATTGCTGCCAGGTCAACAACTGCAACAACAATGTGATATAATTCTGAAGTAAAAAAAACTGACGTTAATGATCGAACAAACTAGTTTTATAAGAACACAGTTCCTACCTATATATAGTTATTTCAACACTATATGAATGGTCAAGCATCTATTATGCCTAATCTTCAGCTTTTTCAGTATCACAAAATGTATGGAAGAATTGGAATAGTAACATTCATTTGCATATCAGTGCACATTCCTAAGATAATACGTTGAAAATATTGCAGGCCTGCGCAAATATGAAGATACTTGAATAAACAACTTGTATTTCTGAAACTGTTATGTGCAGGGTTGGCGATTTTTTTTATTTTTTTAAAAAAATCAAATAAATAAAAAAAATCATGAAAAAATAAAAAAAATCATTGATTTTTGATTTGATTTGAAGACAAAAAAGGTGAAAAAATCAAAAAAATCAAATAAATCAAAAAAATCATGAAAAAATCAAAAAAATCTTTGATTTTTGATTTTTTTTAATTTTTTCACCTTTTTTGTCTTTTTGAAGTGTTGTTTTTTATGTTGAAATTAGCCTACTGACAATAACAGTACCTATGTGGATCATAATGGATGGCTAAAAAGGGCACTTATTGCCTTCAATAATGGCCAACAGGCCAAGGTTTTGTTTACCACTTAGGGATTTTTGGGTAAACAATTATTGATAAGTCTATTCATTAGCTTTGTAAAGTTTATATGGAGCAAGGTAATGGAGCTAAATATTGACCATTTAACTGGCTTCAATATACAAAAACACTTCAGGAATGCAGATCTTCTAAACATTGAAGAGTCACATAACAGATAGGTAGCTGATAGCACAGTGCACAACTGCCGCACCCTGTGTAAGCTAGCTAACACATTTAAATTGTATATTGTAATCAATATATAACAAATAGTCAAATAGCTTTAAAGACTACTTATAGCCTTATAAGAATTAGCTAAGCTGCTAGCTACGTACAACGTATTGTACTCTTGATGCCTCTGTACCAAAAACATTCCATTTATTGGGACCTAATACAAACTAAAGGCAACAAGTTTATATACCAATTTGTCATTCATAGTACATTTATACTATACCATGAATAACAATACCTCAATATAAATTAAAGACTGCCACTCAATATTTTTAAATATATGAAAAAATCAAAAAAATCAAATAAATCGGAAAAATCATGATTTTTTATAAAAAAAATCATGTGATTTAATCACATGATTTAATCATTTTGATTTAATCATTGCCAACCCTGGTTATGTGTCTCAGGTTTGTAATTTAAATGGAACAAAAATAACATATTTTACAGTGTAAAACCTTATATACTGAATTTAAAATTTTGATTATTAGGTAATGAATTTTTTTGGCAATATTTGTTGCTCCAAAGAATAGTTTGCAATCTAAATTTTAGAATTTTAAGTAAGAGAAACTTTTTTAAACAAAGTCATTAGTGCAAATTTTCAATGATATCGAAATATTTTGTGAAAAGTGAAAATAATTATGAACTTGAATGAAGGAATAAAATTTTAACTGTGTAAAATATTATATTCAACATAAAGGAAAGAAATATAATTTTTAAATTGGAAGAAACTATTTCAACATACAACTCTTAGCTTACAGAGAAATAAGTACCAACTTGAGATAGAAAAAGAATTTCACCTTGTCCGCTTGTTGGCAGCATCTATATCAATGATGGACAAACATGGATTGATGGGCAACATGATTTGACACATACCTTGCTGAAGTCTTTATCATAGCAGACAATGTTGATGCTGAACATCACATACAGGTGCAGCAAGCTCTCATACTTTGTTCCTGTGAAGGCCAATTTAGCAATCTGAGAAAATGAACAGGAAATTAAACAATGAAAATTTCTTCAACTTCACAAAATACAGTATATGAAAAAGCCTATTTGATGGAATTCAGCTGAAAAATGTTTTTACTCATCAGAAATGAAGAGGAAGACCAAAATTTTTGTACCTAAGATCAACACTAACGACAAAACCAGGCATTCCAAACATCCATGCAGGACAAATTATTTGAATTCCTTTAATCCTAAAGGGAAAATTTGCCATGAATAGTGAAATACTTCCTAGGAATTATTGTTGTCATTATTCAAGGAACTTAAGTAACTGCAAATTTGTTCATTAAAATTATTCATTTTGTTCTACCATCAATAGTATGTAAAAATAGAATTTCTAGCATCTATTTTGTCACAAGAAAAAAAGTTATGAGGAACACAGTTTTCTAGTTAATATTTCTTGTAACTATATAATAATAAGTTTCTGTTGAAACTTATCATCAATATTACTAAAATTTATAATTACAAATTATATTGTACCTGGGCAGCAGACATAACTTACATTTTCATTGTGGAAGAGATACTTCATGTTATTCCTGTGCAGCAAGACTCGCTGCTCGAAAAGTTCCTCAGCAGTGCACGGATGCATGTGACCCACAACAAACATCTGACCAGCTTTCACCTCCTCCAAAAACTCACGAGCCAAAATTTTTTCAAAAGGATTATCCTGGAAAATGATAAAAGATCTAACAATAACTAAACAAACATAAATAACAGCAGTTTTCAACCCACAAACTTCATTAATTTATTATAGGTCAATCTTTGTTGGCAACAATTAAATAAATTTTTTATACTAATAATTTTTCAAATAAATTTAGCAGATTTATTGCCATTTGTACCTGAAGTCCTGAATTTTGATAAAATGTACTCAAATCGACCGTGGCAACTTCAGCTATGAGTAGATAGGTAAACTAGGTATAGATACATCATTATTTCAAGAAGGTTACAGTATACTACAAAATTAAACATTCTGTAACAATAAAAATTGAAGCAAAGGATTACACTCACCTCCTCCTTTTTAACATATTTGGCCTTAACAGCATTGATACAAGTTTCCGATGCAGGTAAACCAGCTAGTGGATAATTGTATTTTTCATACGTTAACTCAATAGCCAGAGCTCTTGCTTTATGAGGAATTTTTGCTCTCTTTATGCCAAGTGGACGTCTCCACCTCACAGACTGAACCATAGGTGTATTAAGGTCAAGATGAAACTGATTTTGAAAACTGTATACTTTTTCTAAAATTGGCAGAGATGATGCATTGGTAGATTGAAATGAAGCACAGTGATACCATCTCTCAAGCAAAAGGCTGCTGCTCCTAAAAATATTTGATAATCTAAGCTTAGACTGCAACATTGTCAGCACCAGTTATAAAATTTGTAGAACCTTTTCAGACCTGAAATTTAAAAATAATTAATAAATGGATTAATAGATTAAATCCCAAAAATGCACACTAGTCACTACAATGTACCAAACATTGCCATGTAATGTAAATGTCATGTTTACCTAACCTTTGACATTTATATAACAAATTATTTAAAAATTTAAATAATTTATGTATAGGTATTTTGTTTAAAAATTATACAATCAAACGGTGTATTAATCCTTTCACGGGCAAGTTACCATATATGGTCACTTGAAATCGCTTCACATAGAGATCCATCACAGCTTCCTGTTTGTTTTTGAGGTGTCTTTATAATGCCTCAGTCAATCACTAATTATCTGACCATTGTTCTATCCATAGCCCCACCACCTGCAATGCCCAAACATTAAAATACCATATAAGCATTTAAATAAAAGTTTTGACTTGATGAAATCAATGCTCTTTCCGCATTTGTTTTTAAAAGGCAGAATTATCAATATACCGTCAAACGGGGTAAAAAGTGACTGGCGGGGTAAATAGGGACGCGCATCCCACATTTCATAGAAATGTTGTAGCAGAACTAAAAATATATATATATATATCGCAATATATAAATATTTCAGGACTAAAAATAGTGGCGTAAACTTCAACATTTTTACTATCTATTATGTACAAAGCTAGTCAAGAAATCAAACATTTACTACCTATCTCTAAAAAATCGCTGAAAAAAGTGTGAAAAGTGCAATTTTGGAAAAGTAACCTCTGCTAAGTTCTGGAGCAAAAAAATATTCACCATATTAAAAAATTTTACTTACATAAATGTTGCACCCATGTGTCAGCTTGAAAACGTAATTGACAGATTTTGCCTATCTCATTAAAAAAAAATGGCAGCCATTTCCCCGCGACAGGGTATAAACGGACACCCCTCACGGGTAGTTAGGGACACCCTTAAAAATGCATTCACAGTAGAACCTCAGTTAGCAAAGGCTCCAGTTAACAAAAGCATTGATTAACAACAACGAATTTTGATTACATTTAACTCGCTTGGTGAAAAAAAATTCACTTAACAAAAAAATTTGTGCATCATCGGTCATCGCAAATATGTACATAGAATGCTATCTATAGAATTGTGCACCAGGCATCATAGAATGAAAAGTAATTGACCTAAACTAAGATTTATTTCTTCAAAACATATGATGGTTGTCACAAAAACATTATTTTCTGTTTCAGATATGTTTTTCATGATCTTTTTTGTTATAGTGAAATCACTAGACTTGATTAAAATTGTGCAAAATTACAAACCATCTTGTAAGCTTACAGATACAGAAGAAATGCTACATGGCTGCTGATATGGAGCTTGCAGTGGACAAGGTCGTTGTCAATGCTCAATCGCCTGTTCATGGATATGGTACTATCGCATCAATAATATGGTAATTAATGTATATGGTAATATATCAATAAAGGAAAAACAAGTAGAAATCACAGAAAATTTCATATATTCTACCTCTACATTATCTACAATGAAAGAGGAGGACTTCAGAGTACTGTTAGTAATGTATGAGTACACTCTGCATGCAGTTTTAAAATCAAGTTTTATTGCAAGTGTCCCAAGTAGCCCTGTTCAACAGGGCTACTCGGGACACTCTTTTCTTGCTTCTGGCACCTTACGAATAGCATATGGAATATTTTTGAAGATGCCATTTGATAGCCCTCGCAAAGAGCTATAAAATGAGCCTAAACTTGTTTATGAAATGTTTCATGGTAAGAAGTTATGAATGAAAAACGTTCAAAATCGTCCCGAGTAGCCCAGGTTGACGGTACCCTTAATCAGGGCTGGAAAAGTCCTATTTTTGTCTGAAATTTCACGGCTCTAATATCATATAATTTCAGTAGGTATGAAATCTCGTGGCTCGAATGTCATAAATTTTTGTTTGATTGAAAAATCGTAGTTTGCACTTTGCAAACATGTCATTTCATATAATTTTCAACTTGGACAATCCGCATTGCTTTATTGTTCCCACCAAAATATCCTGCAGAAAAAACATAAACATCGTAATGTAAATTGTAAACAAATCAACTAAACGTTTTGTTGAAGATCACATATAGTTGCGGTCATGTCAAGGCAGTCAGACTGCATTAACACGTGCTCAACTTATAGTAAAGACAAATTTTATTGTTGCCGTTTGACTGTTTTAGGGTAAAATTAGAGATTTGGGGTAACATGTGCATGGATTTTGTAAATAAATTCGCGCCTCATAAATGGCTTTTCATGGTCAAGATATGGAATTCACATTTAATTTCACGGCTCGGTGAAACTGAAATGGAATCAAGGCTTGAAGAAATGGAATCACTGCTGGCAAATCCATAAAACCACGGCATGAAAAATTTAGTCACAGCTTGCCAAGTAGATAATATATTCCATGCCTGACCTTAATAACTTCTTACCATGAAATATTTCATAAACAAGTTTGGGCTCATTTTAAAGGATTTGTAAATTGCAAGGGTTATTGTATGACATCTCCGAAAAATTTCATATATATATATAGTATACTATTTGTAAGATGCCAGATGCAAAATAAAAGCCTCCTGAAGTTACCTGAACCAACCCAGGGAATGGGTCAATGGGGTAATAAGGGACACTTGAAATAAAACTCAATTTTAAAACAATTGAAGCATGCATGATGCAGAGTGTGCTCATCCATTACTGCCACTGTGCAGAGAGTGGATGAATATTGCAAGATCTTTGGCGACGCTTCAGTAGCAAAATTTATTCCTTCAGAAGATCTTGCCGACACATTTAGATTGAAATTCTTTCATTTAATATATTTGTCAGTCTTCGGCCAATTATTTAAAAAAAATAAGGTTTCCAGTATGTTGGATTGATCAGTATGCAGTGAAGCTTGTCCGGAAATCAGTTGCAATGAGTTCCCAGCAAAAAAAATGTAAACATCAAGTTTACGGTTACGTAGTTGTGGTCACATTAGAGTGGTCAGATTGCATTATCACATGTTCAGTTGACACTTGCTGTACAATTGGACTGTTTTTAGGGTAAAATTAGCTATTTGGGGTTGTTGTTGTTGGTTGCGACTGTCACGCACGCCGGGGGGGAGGCTCTGGTGGCGGGCGGGGGGCCGGAACCGGAAGAGGATAGAGGTGGGCGAAGGCAGGGAGGGTGGCTAGGAAAGCCGCTACCTCCACGTGGCTGTCTCACAGTGAGGAGACGCTGAGAGACGTGGGGAAGGCGGGGCAGACGAAGAGGTGCTGAACGGATTGGAGGGGGTCCCCGCATTCCGGGCAGGCGGAGCTAGGGGAGCGTCCGATCCTGGCGGAATAGGACACCAGGGAGCTGCAGTATCCTGAGCAGAGCTGGGATAACGCTGAGCGGTAGGGGCGAGGGAGAGAGGTCTCCGCTGAAGCAATCGGCGGCAGCGGGGCAGCAAGGACAGCGTTTATGGCGGCAGTCGCCGCCACGCGGGAGGTGATCTCCCTGCGGAGAGACCGCTTGGCTTCTCCGTATGTCCCGGCAGGCAGGATACCATTAGTCAAGAGTGGTGTGACAAGATGGCCGAACTTTGACTGTATCGAGGCTTTCATAGGGCGGTCACCCAGAGGGGCAGAAACCATGTGAAAGGAGGCGTGGGAGGACTGGAGGGCGCTGGCGAGGAACTGGGCGCAGGCCAGGTCCAGGTGCTCGGGCAAAGGGAGGACGCCGGTCTCCTGGTGCAGATGGGAGATGGGGGCCATTTTGAGGCAGCCGGTGGCTAGTCTCAATGCGGTATTCTGTATAGTCTGCAGGCTGGCAACTGCTGTGCGGGTGGCAACAGGGTACCAGATGGGGGCCGCGTAGTTGAGAATTGGGCGCGTGATGGTACGGTAGGTGGCAACTATGTCCTCCTTGGAGAAGCCCCAGTTGGTGCCAGCAAGGGCTTTTAGTATGCGAAGAGAACCCGCCGCTTTCGTGGCAATGGCTCTTGCATGCGGGGAGAAAGTGAAGTGTGTATCCCAGGTGACGCCTAGGATTTGGGGGGTTTTGTCCAGTGGGATGATGCCATTGCAGATGGTGGCAGCTGGGTGGTAACGGGATTGGTGCGTATCTGGGGTGAAGAGCGTGACCGAGGACTTGCCAGGAGCCACGGCCAGTTTCTTGACTGCCAACCAGTCGGAGGCGTTACGAAGGAGCGAGGCAAGCTCGGCCTCCGCATCGTCGAGTCTCGGGGACGACACGAAGATGGCAAGGTCGTCCGCGTATGAGGCAATATTGGTGGTAGGTACTGGGATGTCTGAAATGAAGTGATTAAAGAGGGCTGGCGAGATCACCAAGCCCTGGGGAACGCCTGAGTGGATAGCTCTGCAAGGCGATTGGGTCCGGAGATAGAGGCAGGATGCCTGCCTGCCTCGGAGGTAGCAGCACAGCCATCGGACCAGGTTGTGATTTAGGTCAGAGGCCGCGATCATGCTCAGGAGGGGGTGGTCGACACTGTTGAATGCCTTCGAGAGGTCGACCGCCACGGCGACTGTGCCGGCTGGAGGGCGCCGCGAGTTGAAGCCCGTCGTGATCTGGTGCACGAGCGGGAGGAGGGCGGTGACAGTGGAGTGTCCCGGCTTGAAACCATGCTGCGAGGGGACGGTGGTGAGAGAGCCCGAGATGTAAGGGAGCACAAGTCGCTCTAGGATCTTGGCTGCAGGGCAGAGGAGGGAGATAGGGCGGTTGGAAGAGCCCTGGTTACCGGGTTTGCCCGGTTTGAGGATCGGAATAATTATTGAATTTTTCCAAATGGATGGGATAGAGGCTGTGGCGACGGAGATATTAAAAATGCGGGTGAGGAATTGGATACCGCGTGGTCTGAGGTGCTTAAAATGCAGGACCGTGAGCCCGTCCGGGCCTCGCGTGGAGGACTGGGGGCATGGCAGACCGTCTGCACGTAGGGCAGATCCAATCTTCGGTGTAAAGTCTGATGTAGCGCAGGCCGGAACATCGCTTATGGATATAAGACCGCACCAGGAGCACCAGAACGAGTGTCCACTCCACGTGA